AACTCGATTAAAAGGACTTGGTTCGAGAATCCGGGCCTCTAGATCTGCTTCGATATTCGGCAAGTCGCGCATGAGTAAATCTCTTAAAACTCGATTCAAATTGCTCCAGTGACGGATTTGGAACGGACAATAGTCTCCCCAGAACGGAAGATTGTCATCATCTTCTCTCACGCCGGATACAAGGAATAATTCTCCATCCAAGCGCGAGGCGATATGCATGATGAAGATCGATAAGAAAAACGTAATGGGAGGCTAACAACCTTCTGGCATTCTATCGAAAGATGTGCTGGTTACGTACGAATAATACAAACAGCTTCTCAACTCCCCTTCGGAAGCAATGTAGAAATCAATTATGAAGACGGGCCTGTCGCGTAGCGTGGCCATCACAATGTACTGAAAAACTGGCGTAACAACAGACGGCTGGACACGAGCGCGAACGTCTTCGGGGACCGGAATGTGGCGGTATCGGGGAAGCCCAATGTTGCCAAACCACTCTAAACCATAAATGTTCTCAGTTGCGGTAACAACTCCACTTCGCAGACTTTCGCAGTAGCCGAATCCTCTTACAACGACCGTCCCACTGAAACTTCCAGACGACATCCTGCATCAGAAAAGAGAACATCGCCATTGTCATATACGGAAAGGTGGGTAAACGGCAAAGTTGAGACCGTCTGATGTTGGCAAAGTGCGAATGAACTCGTAATTAGATAGAAAGTTTGTCATGCAACGGGGTATACCGAAGGGGACTGGCTGTAAGCATAGTGCGAGTCTATTCGCATTAGAGAAAAGACGAAGCAACTAATTCAGAATGCTGCTAGTGAAGATGTAGATGTCCAACATCGCAGTAAGGGCAATCGCACACATATCTCGTTTTCTCGTTGCGCAGAGTCACTTCCTGAGGTCCGGAGGCTGAATAATCCAGATGGCAGTAAACAAATCGCAATTCGTTGTCCCTATGTTCGACTGTGAAATTTATTTCGTCGCAGCTATCGAAGAGGTAGTGAAGTTGTTGGTGCACCAAACAGTCGACCCGCAAATGCAGCTCATCTTTGAGTGCTTGATCTATGGCGAGCCTGTTTTTGAACCGTGCAAGGGAACCAGTAGGGCCGGATGTGTGAAACGCTTGAAAAGAAGTGAGCTTGACACCGTGAAATTCCTCCCTTGCGAGAAAAAAAGCTTGCATTCGTCGACCGTCCACCTTTACGGCAGTGAAGAGCGTCACGACGGTGGTGCCTCGATTACACACCCTTGCTCGACCGAAGTAGTCTATGATCACCGGCGCCGACTTCGTCGGTTGGCCGAGGCAAAACCAGGCACACAGTTTTTGATGCAACTTGTCCAACGACGCCCACTTAAGTTTCTCACATAAAATGTGTCATTCTTCAACCATCTTAGAAGTTTGGACGGGTCCCTCTTCAAGGGGTTCCCTCTTCAGAAATGACTCCAACCTGATAGGGTATGTCTGTACATCCTTCATCAGAGTGTACAGGTACCAAAAGTTCGACCCTACATCACGGCAAATCCGAAGTTGTCCTTCTTCCGCACTTTGCCACGAAGGGATTTCCCCGTCCGGGGCAACATCATCTTCGAGGTGCAGGTAGTCACGGTCCAGACCGGATCGTCCAATGTCTTCCCAAATGTTCTTCGACAAAATGATCAGATCGACATCCGGCGCTGAGGACTTCCTACTCTGCGACGAAGTCCCGATATCCATTCTGCATCAGCGGAGAAACGCAAGGAAGCGCGTCAATTGCGATTCTCGCAAGTGCATAAGCAAAAATTCCAGGAATGGTATATGCACGAAAGGGTTTCATAATTGGTAATTGGTTCGCACATCGCAAGAGAGCGCAAGTTTTCTAACCGCCGTCTAATGCCGACTTATTTTCTACATGTCATTCATGTGGGTCGATAAGTGAGAGTAGATTCGCACTTCGCAAATCAGCGCAAGTCCTGCAACCGCCGCCGACGAATGGCGAATAAATGACGGTAGATTCGCACATCGCACTTGAGCACAAGTCTTGCAACCGCCGCTCAACATCTCCAACACGTCGTTCATGTGGAACGGTCAGACTACTCTCTTATTGGGTGGAACGGTCAGACTACTCTCTTAATCAGTGCAAGTCCTGCAATGATGGCGTCGATGAACGGCGAGGTCGTCCTATGAGTACAGCAGCAAAGTGCGAACTAACTCGGAGTTGTCTCACATAGCAGGTCATGGCGACTGGTGTCCATCCTCATAGTAAGGACAGTCGTAGAACTATCTCCGCCTACCCCCTACGAATTCCAATGTTTGGACACCCGAACGGTGATGCGAAACTTTTCGTAGAGTGCAGTCATTGCAGTTATCCTTGTGTTCCAACGTGAATAATATGTTGTCACACAATCTTAAAGGAAGTGAAGTTGGGCATGCACCAAACAGCCAACCCTTTGATTCAACTCTTTTGCGAGCGAAGGATCGATTTCGAATCGTTCACGGAAGCGCTCGAGAGCACCAACGGACGTGGGCTCGCGAAAGTCTTCCCTCACAAGGAAGAAAACTCTCATTTGCTTACCACAAAGCTTGGCCGCCGTGAAAAGAGTCAGCACAGGGGTGCCACGGTTGGACAGAGGAACTCGGCCATGGTAGTCTATGATCACAGGAGAACGCAACTGCGGCTTCCCGATGCAGTACCATGCGCAAAGTTTAGCATGTTGCTCGTCCATACAACCCCACTTTTGTTCGAAGCGCAGCGACTCCCCGTCATCTACCATATCCTCGACGTCCATCTCCTGCTCCTGACTGGATGGAACTTCCAAAAGTTGGACTTCTTCTAAACTCCAGTAGAGGTACCACATATTTGATCCTTTATCAAGAACTATTGTAGTTTGTCCATCAACAACACGTGTTTCGGGCGCAATGTAACCGTCCAGGCCGACCCCAGCTTCGATATGCAGATAATCGCTGTCAAGACCAGCGTTGTCACGCGGGGATCCCCGGGGCCCAAGCCGGGGTAGGGGTTTCAACCCCGGAACCCCGCCGCGGGGCTACCCGACCCCCGCCCCCGCACCCCGCACCCCCGCACCCAAC